AAGAAAGGTGGATCGAGGACCGGGCCTCGATTGTATATATAAGCTTTCACTTTTCTTTAAGTATTTTAATTTACTTTTATATAAATTTTGAAATACTAATTTAATTTAAATTTTCGTATAGGGTCGCTACCAAACTAACATGGAGGAATTCATCTGCACTCAGCCAGCTGGTGAATCGGGCGAGCCAACCCAACCTTCGGACGAGGATGCTGAAAGAATATGGATGGAGTCTGCTGGCGGTCCAAAATAGGGGAAGGTATACAGGCTTCCTAACAAAAAGTTCTATCTCTATAAGTGTGAAATGCAAGGAATATGGACTTCCTCGCAAGGCAAGCAACTTAATGGGGAGAGCCTCTCCGCTATGTGGGAGACTGTGACAAAGCTCACATCCGAGCTAGAAGCGGCCAAGGAAAGAGAAAGGGTTAGAGATGCTCAATTCCTTGGCATGCAAGCTCAGATCAGAACTCTCCTATCTACTGGAGCTTTTCCGNAGAGGCTCAACCTGCACGTGATCGTTCCTCCCGTCCTCCCCGTGATCGTTCCTCCCGTCCTCCCCGTGATCGTTCTTCCCGTCCTCCACAAGGCCCTTCTCTATACCGTCTTGTAGATGTAAGTTTATCAGACGGTGATGATGATGTTGTACAAAATACTCCTTGAATTTTATATACTTTGAGCTAGACAAATAGAACCAGTTTTGAACTAGTTGTAATAAGTTTTAACTTGGTTTTGGATTTTTATGTTCAATTGAACTTTAATTTGTTAGTTTTAATGTATTTATTGATTGTTATTGTGTTGTTGTTGTTGCTGTTGTTGTTGTTTTATGTTGCTATTAGGTGTATTGGTATGCTGACAGGTGGTGTAGCTGCCAAAACAGGCATTTTATGCCAAAATTAAAACCCAAAAAACCGACCAAAGTTGGTCGGTTTCTAATAGAAAAAAATATTTTTCTGCAAATTACCGACCAAAGTTGGTCGGTAATCAATAAAAAAGAATAAAAAATTTACAATTACCGACCAAAGTTAGTCGGTTAATGAACAAGGAATTCTCAGAGTTGAACATTACCGAGCAACTTTGGTCGGTATTGTTAAATTTTAATTTAAAAAAAATATATATTTTCATTTACCAATCAACTTTGGTCGGTATTTTTTTAAATTTAATAATTAATAAAAAACATAATTTAAATACATCGACCAACTTTGGTTGGTAAAATTAAATTATTGAAATATGTTTCCGGCCAAGGTTGGTCGGTAAATGTTTTAAATTCTTTAGATGGTCGTTTTGACAATTAAAACGACCATGAAAATAGCGACCAAGCGTATTTGGACGCGTTTTGGTCGGTAATTGGCCATAACCGACCAACGTTGGTCGGTCTTTCTGGTCGGTATTTACTGAATTTCTGATAGTATGAGGAGCTGGTTCTTCACATCAGTTAAGCAGTTACATTGAGGACCTGGTTCTTTGAGCAGTTAGTCACACTTTGTTAATCATCAAAACTTCAATACTCAACAAGGTCTCTACAAAAAGCTCGCGCCAAAAGCTTTAAACAGATGGGAGATGTGTGGACAGGTGAAGGTGGTGGTGGTGAAGATTGAAAGGGAAGAAGATATGTTGCTTTTGCAAGAAAGGGCAAAATCACTTATAGCCCGTTTGGCCAAGCTGCAAAAATCAGCTTATTTTGAGAAATGCTTTTTTTCAAAAGTCTTTTTCTCAAAAATAATTTTGGTGAGAAACAACTAATTTAGTTGACGACATAACTGGTGGATTGAAGCTTTTGTAGCGGCAGTCACTTAGCTTTTCTTTTTAACTGAAGAGTGTAAAATCTTTAAGGTCCTTTGCGTTATGGAACTAGAATGAGTAATCATCACCATTATTGGGGGAAGTTGGAAATTCAGCTACTGCGCGCCCTGGTGTTGCAAACTTTTTTTGACGAAAATATTTATTGCTCCTTTAAGCTGCATAACATTTCTAACGTGCAATGCAATTTTAATGAAGTAGAAAAAAAGAAAGTAAAGATCACTAAACTATTCAAATGTGTCAGCAAAGTGAAAACGGGGAAGAAGTAAGCAACATACAGTATGTGCTTCTAATTGCAAATTATATATCAAATCATTGCTTGTGATATATTTTTTGACCTTTTAGCTAAAATCAAGTATGAAATTGTTGCTTGTTCAATTCTTTGTTAGTTGTCACTAGGTTATTCCCCCTCCTTGCGGTATGTAATTTTGGGAGTTAAAACTAAAATACAAGGTTTATAATTAAATTATTTAATATAAAAAAAATATTTTTTAAAATAAGCTAAAAGAAAAGAGTGTCATAAAATTTGGGGTATAGGAGTAACCAAAAGTAATTCTTTATGGGGCAAAATACAAAATTGACTGTACGGTTGACACTAATTTCATTGACTATCCAACTATTTCATATGGACGAAGGAAAAAGTTTTGGCAAATATTAGGGTATCCCATCTTTATAAAAAATCAATCAAAAAGGGATTATCAGTTCCTACTAGACAATTTCAAAAGCAAACTAGCAGGCTGGAAAATAAATTTTTTAATTAGGGCTGGTAGGGCGACTCTAATATGATCTACTTTAAACCAACTTTCTAATCATCTGATGTATTATATAAAATACCTGCTTATATAATTACCTACCTTAATCGATACCAACGAAATTTCCTCTGGGGTACAACACCACAAAAGAAAAAAATTCATTTGGTAAAATGATCCAAGGTTACACAACCTATCCAACAAGGGGGATTAGGTATACAAAACCCAACTATCAAAAATAAAGCACTACATGCAAGTCTTGCATGGAGACTGTTTAATAATCCACATCAACGATGGGCACAAGTGTTATTACATAGTAATTTGCGACCATCTCCTCTCTCCAAAGGCATAGGATCCAATACTTGGCGTAATATTATAAAAGGTTGGTCCTACTGTCGTCTAGGGTACAAGTGGAATCTTAACACTGAACAACATGTTAGGTTTTGGTATGATCCATGGATCCTCTCAAATACCACTCTTCGTAACTACATGGAAGGGCCACTACCACAATATGAGGAGAGGAAATTGGTCTCACATTATTACTACAATAATACCTGGTATTGGGAGAAGTTACCTATGGCTTTACCATCAAGTTTAAAATCTTTAATTGCCAAAATTTACATGCCTACCATACATGTATCACCTGATCAAATTTATTGGGCTCTAACAGACAACGATAATTTTTCCACAAAATCTATCTACAACACCTTAATACAGAATACTCTTTCAACAAGCATACACACATCTCAATCCTATAAGTGAATTTGGAAACTTCATATTCCACCAAAAATAAGTTTCTTCTTATGGTTAATGTGTCATGACAGACTCCCAACAGCAGCATATCTTGCACGACTAGGTATCATTGATTTAGACACATGCCAACAATGTGACACATGCCCGGAAACAATCCTCCATATATTTTGGGAATGTCCTCAGGCTAGACAGCTCTGGACATCTCTAGGCATTCCAATTAATAACCTTACTACTCCTATGACACAATATACCATTCTCAACTGATTGCATCAATTTGTCTACACAGTGTCATCATCAACCCCTAAGAATATTCCATACACAACACTTATTCCATTTGCCATGTGGCAACTTTGGACAGTAAGAAATAAACGATTACTAGAAAAACAAAAATGCACTCTTACAGCTTCTCATATTGTTAAACCAGCTGCTGAATATTACTTTCTTACAAATTCTCCAAAAAAACCTCACCCCCTAACACCTGTGTATATAAAATGGCATCCACCAAATCGGGACGCTTATAAATTAAATATTGATGGATCCTGCTCATCGAGCAAGGGCAAATATGGCATTGGTGGTGTTTTTAGGAATGTACAAAGACATTGGATTATAGGGTTTGCAGGAAGTGCACCAGAAGGCACAACTGTACAAACAGAACTTCTTGCACTTCTCATGGGACTCCAACTTGCTGCACAAATGAAGCTAAAGCCCCTTGTCATTGAAACAGATGCACAAGTACTTATAGGTATGTTTCAATCACCTACAATCCAATATACTAATATTATTAATGACTGCAGGTCGTTACTTCGACAGCTGGATAGTCCACCTCTACAACATATCTACAGAGAGCAAAATGGTGTTGCTGATACCTTAGATACATATAGAGCACTGCATACAAAGGAGCACTGCTTACTTTTTGGAAAACCACCACTTTTTGCTACGCCCTCCTACACACACGATCAACATGACACGTAACAAAGAAGGCTAATTAGGAGTAGCACTACTGCTTCAGTTAAATCACCTTTTGCCTCAAATGTTTTGTGTAATACTAATAGTATATCTAGGAGTGTGCCATCTACTACTACTACTACTATGTTGTCTAGTTTAACTACTACTTCTACTACTAGTCTGTCTAGTTTAAGGACTAGTTCTACTACTAGTCTCCCTAGTTTAACTACTAGTTCTACTACTAGTCTCCCTAGTTTAACTACTAGTTCTACTACTAGTCTCCCTAGTTTAACTACTAGTTCTACTACTAGTCTCCCTAGTTTAACTACTAGTTCTACTACTAGTCTCCCTAGTTTAACTACTAGTTCTACTACTAGTCATGCTACTTTTGTACAAAGGATGCCTTTAATGCATCTACTCAACAAGTGTGTTATATCTTTTATATCTTTTTAAGGTTTATATAATATAACTTATCTTTCCGACCAAAAAAAAAACTATCCAAAAAACAAATATTTTTTTATATGTATATATTTACCGGTTATTTTTTTTAAAATAAGCTAAAACTATATATTTCTCTACTTTATTTTTCTTTCCTGTGTAGGATTTTTTGTTTTATTATAAAAAGCATTAAATTAGAATCAAGAACGAGAAAGAGAAGAAATTCCCCCTTGAATTTTGTCACCTAATGAGTGGGACCCAATCCGGGAGCTGTGTAGACTTAACGGCCATAGCCGCCATTTCACAGCCTAAAAACTGCGCCCATTTTCTTTAATAAAGAGCTTTATCACTGCCCTCAAAAAGAAACTGAAGCTAATTCATACTATCAACAATGGCGTCTTCAGCTGTAGCTTCAAGCTCCACACTTCATGTCATCAACAAGGTTTGTGTATCCACAAGAAATATAGACTTATCAGCCCATAGTCTTAAAAATTTAAATTTCTTGAATTTTGAGTGACCCAATATTTTTATGATTTTTCTGTTATTTGTTGTGCAGAGATGTGGGTCTATCAGCTTTCTCATCACAACCTTCATTTTGCATTCAAACTACCAAGAAGAAAGTGGTTTCCAAGAAAATATTTTCTGTAATGTCATCACAGCAGACTGAGCGCAAACCAGCTACCACTGGCTCAGTTGGGTATTTTGATTTGTTTGAAATTTCATTTATTTTGGGAATTTTTTTAATTGTTGCATAATATTGGCATGAGATGAGTTTAGACGGATTAATGGAGTACATGATTAGTGATGATTCATATAACCGTCTCCAATTTGTTCGGAATTGGTGTGTAGTATTTGTTGTTGGAAAAAAGATTTGATTTTGTTACTATTGGAATGAGATGAGTTTAAATGGATTAATGAAGTACATGATTAGTGATGATTCATACATCCGACCCCAACTTGTTTGGGATTGGCGTGTAGTAGGTGTTGTTGGAAAAAGATTTGATTTTGCTAATACTGGAATAAGATGATTTTAAATGGATTAATGGAGTACATGATTAGTGATGATTCATATAGACGACCCCAACTTGTTTGGGATTGGCGTGTAGTAGTTGTTGGAAAAAGATTTGATTTTACATAATATTGGCATAAGATGAGTTTAGACAGATTAATGGAGAACATGATTAGTGATGATTCATATAGCCAACCCCAACTTGTTTGGGATTGGCGTGTAGTAGTTGTTGTTGGAAAAAGTTTTGGTTTTGCATAATATTGGCATGAGATGAGTTTAAACGGATTAATGGAGTAATATGGTCAGTGAAGATCTATATAGTCGACCCTGACTTATTTGTGATTGAAGTGTAGTAGTAGTAGTTGTTGTTGTTGGAAAAAAATTTCATTTTCCCGAGAAAAAAAGATCCAAGCTTGGGGCTTTTACACTGTATTGTTGGAATTCAATTGGGAAGGGCTTAATTTCTTCAAAAAGGACTCTTTTTGTGTTTATGAATTTCTGTTTTCGGTTTCTCAATCTCTAAGTAAGGGATCAAGAATAATCAGGAATAGTAAAGAAATGATGGAGTTATTTTTTTCTGTTTGAAGAACAGGACAGGTGATTTATACATGATTTATTCCATAGTCGAACTAAATATGCACCATTAGATTTTGTTGGGTTGGATTAAATCTGCACTATAGGCGGATCCAGGAATTGAGCTTTATGGGTTCGGGATGTAACTGAATCCACTGACCATTTTGAGTTACCGGGTTCGAAATTTAACGTTTATGTACAGATTTTTTATTGGGTTCAGCTGAACCCTTAGCTTTTATTGTACATTCACCCCTGATTTCCACCACTTCTAATCTTGCTTGACTATTAGTGCTCCACCTTAGTGACCATTTTGAGTCAAATCCCGAAATTAGGTAATTTTTGGGCTTTCTGTTGATTTTTCCCACATGTTTTTTTGATTTTAGTGAATCTTGATTGTGGATTTGTGATAACATTTGTTAGGTTAAGACTGGGATGACTGACTGAGAAGATATTAGCTAGGGCTTCTGACAAGCCTGAAGTTACTCCTGGTGATAATGTGTGGGTCAATGTTGATGTTCTGATGACACATGATATTGGTGGCCCGGCCTCTTTTGGAGTTTTCAAAGAACAGTTTGGACAGAAAGCTAAGGTATTTATTGCTTCTATTAGAGTAACTTATGCATGCTAATATGATCGAGTGTTGCGATTTATCTATTAGTACTTGGTAATTGATAAAACTACATTTCTTTGTATACTTAGAAATGTAAATCAATTATATGCACCAAAATGTCTCTACACATATGATTCCTGATTGTCTGACAATCATTCTTCATGCAATATAAAAATACGTGTATAGAGAGAAGTTTTTGAGCATTATAAACCATCTTTTGCAATGAAATCTTTTTTATAACTACCAACTTATTCGTGCTCGAATCAGTTTAGACTTTGGCTTCTCTCATTAGTTTGAAGCCTGATTAAAGAGTTGAATTGGAATTAGCTGTGAGGTTATAATGGCCTTCAATCGTGTACATGGTCAATTAATATATTTGGTGTTGGTTGATAATTTGATTCCTCTGCCTTATGTCATATTGCAATATGATTTTCTGGTATGGATACCTCACACTTTAGGCTTTGCTTTGAGTAGCTTAACTTTTTCGTTATTGCAAAAGTAGGTCTCTCCGCTCTTGGTTGAAGCAAATAATCACAGTTCATCTGGAAACTTCTCCTTTTCTTTTCCTTTTTGTTCATTGCTTTTAGCCTTTTAGGTATTGGAAGTAGAATTCTTTCCCAAATTTCATATACATGTTCTGGATGATAAAATCAAAGCAACGAGTAACTAGTGTCCGTTTATGTCATTCCTTGTGAAGTTCTCCAATGAACTGAAAACTGTTAAGGCCAGAGTTAACTATATTGAGTAGAGACATGTTTCTCCAAATAAACATGATGTGGCTGTTGCCAATACCATAGGTCTGGAATCCTGAGAAGATTGTAATCATACCTGATCACTACATATTCACGGCTGATGAGCGAGCAAACCGCAATGTGGATGTGTTGAGGTACTACTGCAATGAGCAAAATATTAAGTACTTCTATGACATTAAAGATCGTGGGAACTTCCGGGTACGGTTACGTTCTATATAAAGGTTTGAACTTATTATATGCTTTGCTGCTTCTGTTGTCTGGTGTTAGACCAATGGAAAACTAATATGTGATGTATTCTGTAGGCTAATCCAGATTACAAAGGCGTCTGCCATGTTGCTCTTGCCCAAGAAGGTCACTGCAGACCTGGAGAGGTGAAAATTGTTTGCCAATAATCGTAATATGAAAGTGTCTTACTATGTGCTGGCATATGCTTTTAACTCTGTAAAACTCTTATATTATCAGGTTTTGTTGGGAACAGACACTCATACATGTACCGCCGGAGCATTTGGGCAATTTGCTACAGGAATTGGCACTACAGATGCGGGCTTTGTGTTGGGTACTGGAAAGCTTTTGCTCAAGGTCTGTTGACGCACCCTACGCAGAAACTGTGGTTTAGAATCATTGCAGTGCTGTTTAATTTTTTCTGTAGAGTACTGAAACTTCTTAATTACTTTTAATTTAGAGGAGCACTATCTATGACTATCAATTCTGTTGCCAAAAGTTAAAAGTTCTGTTCTTTAATATGCATTTTTTTTTCCTGATTCAAAATTTAAAGCTGTGACATGCAAAGTACGGTCGTTGACATTTTCCTCTATAAAATTTGGACCTTCATTATTTGTGATTAACAAATGGTGCTGAAACAGTCTTTATTCTCTTCAGAGTCTGTGCTTACTGCATTAATTTTGGATACTGAACTGAGCTCTTTCTCCTTCGCATGATGTTGGGAACCTTATTTGCTTTAAAGCTCAAACTTTCTATCTGTACTTGTTCCATACCTGTAGTTGACACTTTCATATGATATATACCCATTATTTCTCTTTATTTGTACTAAATAAAGGTTCTTCGTGCTAATGGAAATAATATATGAAATTTATATCTGTATGATGTAGGTGCCTCCAACTTTGAGATTTGTCATGGATGGCGAAATGCCAAGTTACTTGCTAGCCAAGGATTTGATTTTGCAAGTAAGTGCTGTTATATATACTCTGTGGCTCATTTCTGTTAGTTGGATGTCTTATATGTGCGCTGCTATCTGTCTGCATTTCTTCTTTCGCTGACTTTGCTAGACCGATAATATTCCAAAATTCACTTGTTGTGTGTTGGTACTTTTCATGTTGCAGATTATTGGTGAAATTTCTGTGTCTGGTGCTACATACAAAACAATGGAGTTCGTTGGCACCACAGTTGAAAGTTTGAGCGTAAGCTTTCTTGATATTTTTGATGAAAATAAGCAGGTATTGTTTTTAAATAGTAACAGCACTCATTGCTCTAATAGATGGAAGAAAGAATGACATTATACAACATGGTTGTTGAAGCTGGTGGAAAGAATGGTGTCATCCCAACCGATAAAACAACTTATGACTATCTCAAGGTAAATGGACCCAAGCCGCGGGTACAAGTTACTTCTTTAGATCCTTCCCGTCCCTCACAGGCTTAATATTATTCAGCACATGCTGTTCACAATCAAAATATCTTAATTGCTTGGTCTAGAGCAGGAAAAAGTTTGCTACTCGAAAGCTAATATGTATTTATTTAATGCTGTCACAGGACAAGACTTCTGTGCCCTATGAACCTGTTTATAGCGATGAAGGAGCCAGGTAATTAAACGCTGTTTATCCTCTTTTCCCGAAGCCATAGTGGTTTCACATCATTCTAATGTGTATTTCCTGTATCTTAGTCTTAATAATATCTTAACTGTCAACTTATTCACGTGCGTGACTTTTGGTGCTTGAAATACCTGTACTTCCAAACTGTATTGCAAAAACAGAAGAAATGTTTATTCACCATGCTTCCTCACAATACATTAAGGTCAAGCTGTGGTACATTCTAGTGGTTCCCATTTGTCAAAATTGTATGTTCAGTGTTATCTTTCCTCATTTGGAATTTCAAATTGATTGTGTTTTTCTTTCTGATATCCTCCGTAATATGCATTCATGTCTCCATTTCTTTCTCTGGAATGTAGGACAACAAAGGTTGGCTCGCTTTCTATATATTACCTTAATGTTATGATCTTGGAAAAATTATGTGGAGCTACTTTACTGGTTTTTATGAATACATCCTTTCTAGTGAATTTTAATCCTCAAGCTTAATAGAAGCTTTTTGGTTGTTATTCTCCAATGTCGTCTATTGAGTCCCACATCGGTTTTGTTGGTCTCCCTATATGATCTTTGGCAATCCTCACCTCATGAGATAGCTTTTGAGGTTGAGTTAGGCACAAGACCCATTTCTTTATTATGGTATCAGAGCCAGACGCATCGCAATTCAGTGTTTACTCGATGTTGGGCCCCCATCTTATATTATCCACGCTCCAGATGTCCAGTCCTGGACATGCCGGGTAGTATTGAGTCCCACATCAATGGAATATGAGTTGGTCTTCTTATATGGTCTTGGCAAATCTTCACCTCCAATTAACTTTTGAGGTTGAGTTAGGCCCAAAGTCCATTTCTTTATCATCGCCATTTTGGCATCTACAATGAATAGGTTTAGTAGGATCAAGTGTACTGATCTTTTTTTTTTTTTTGAGATGAAGTAAGGGAATTTCATTAAATGGCATCAAGAAGATGCATAGCAATAATTACAACATAAAGGTATTGTCTGCTCATATACAAAAACTTGGACAACTAAGGAGCTGACAAAATCCAGAAATAGTTCAACACTAGTTACAGGGGCCTGATTGAACCAAGTAAATAAGTTAATTAAACAAGTGGCTTTAAGAGTGTGGTTGGGAGTTGAAATCCCATCAAAACATCTACGGTTCCTTTCATTCCAAATACTCCAAAAAATAGCACCAGGTACCATTGACCAAGTCTTTTTGATGGATTTCCCAACTCTCCAAGAACACCAACTCTCATAAGCTTCCTTGATACTGTTTGGCATAACCCAGGCAAGTCCAAAAACTGATAAAAACATACTCCAAATATCAGCTGCTACTGAACAGTGCAAAAAAAGATGCCTCACACTCTCAAATTCCATCTGGCACATATAACATCTATTCACAGTCGGTATACTCCTTCTGCTAAGATTGTCTTGAGTAAGACAAACTTCATACAATGTTGTCCACATAAAGCCAACTACTTTTGTAGGTAGTTTGGTTTTCCATATAAGCTTCCAAGGCCATTTGTCGATCACTTCCTTATTGGAGCATAGATTGTCATATCCTCTTTTGACAGTATAGGTTCTCTCTTTTGATTCACCCCATTCCAACCTATCCTGCACCTGGGAATTGATATTAGCACCTGATAATTTATTGAGAAAACCCAACAGATCATTCAACAGTTTACAGATCTTTTTTTTGCTAAACATAATCGATTACATTCTCTAGATGGACCTCCTGCACATTCTTTTGCTCTTATACAGCTTCTTAGTAGCAACACATGCAAGTATGGGGGTTCTACTGAACATTTAAGTTTATTTTACCAGTGTTGTATTGAAGAAAAGGTGTCCGATTTCCTCTAAATCATTTCCATGGAAATTAATGAAACTTGAGAACTGAATGAGAAGCAATAGGTATTAATTTCACATGCTTTAATCAAACTAGCAATGGGAAGAAAAAGGGTGAGTCTTAAAGTATCCTTGGTCACTTTTCAGATCCAACATAAATTCAAGAATCAGACTGTAAGCAAAGTAGAATAAGAATACATGAGGGCGTGTGCCAATGTGTTTGCTCAGGGGGATGCAACTTCTTTTTGTTTTTTCCCCTTCTTCTTCATTTTCTAGAATTTGGTCGAATGGTGTTTGATTCTCTTAGTGCGTTTATTTTTTGTAACTTGTTACATAGAATGTTGTATAGCACGGCTACCTTTCGAGATCAGACTATGGCACACAAATAATGGAATCAGGAAAAGAATTACACATCTAGTGTCCAATTTCAAGGACACGGGAATTGTATACACTTCTGTTTATGTTGCTTCATTGTTATAACAACTTCTCGTCTTATCCAAAATCAATATTTTTTAATCATTTATAGGTTCATCAGCATGACTTTTTATGATATATTCTCTTTTTTCATCTCAGATTTCTTAAGGAGTACAGAATTGACATCTCCAAGTTGGAACCTTTAGTGGCTAAGGTTGGTTTTATGGTCTATTCTTTTCCTACTTGTTGAATGCATAACTAGTACTTAAAAGTGTTACGTCATTAATATAATTTGGTATGTTTCTTCTAAGAGATAAGTTGGCAAAAGCTTGAATATGGTCAGTAACATTTTAACCTTTTTCTGTTGCGAAAAATCAACTATGTAGTGTTGCGTGTGGATCTTTAGGATTCTTTCTTCTTGTTTAGTGTTGATTTGTTTGCTCTGAAGCTGTGTTTTGTCTTATACTCTCATTCCAAGTATCATTTGCTTTAAATGTTCAAAATGTTTTCTGCATTTTGCAGCCTCATTCACCTGATAATCATGCTTTGGCAAGAGAATGCAAAGATGTGAAAATCGACAGAGTATATATTGGATCTTGTACTGGTGGGAAAACAGAGGACTTCATGGCTGCAGCAAAAGTTTTTCTAGCTTCGGTAAGATGTTTACTCCTCTTTTCTAAGTCTAACAATGTAATCTTTTATTTGGCCCTGTCTCAGCAGTCATCTATCTTCGAGAGTTAGTGGCTGTTTATTTTTCCGGTTCCATGACAAGTATTTGAAACAACCCCGTCAGTTACCTAGTAGGTTTGACATGAGAAAATGGTTTACCCTATTGCTGGCACCCGTTTAGTGAAAATGTTTCTGAAGTACTCAAATATTACGGGTTTCTACTGCTGACAGATGACTATAATGCTGTTGCCAACCACCAGTGTTGCCTGCCTGCAGCCATATAACAATCTTTTTCTTTTATTCAGAATGTGGAAAAGAATAATTTTGATCCAGAAGCAACTGGAAAGTATTCTTTGGTGTGTAGTAATTGGTCAAATGATGTTACCACTCACATTTAGATCCAACAATCTATTACTTGAATGGGGAGCCTTGGAGCAACGGTTAAGTTGTCTCCGTGTGACCTATAGGTCACGGGTTCGAGCAGTGGAATCAACCACTAATGTTTGTATCAGGTTGCCTACATTACAACCCCTTGGGTGCGGCCCTTCCCCAGAACCTGCCCTTTAATCTATTACTTGAACGCTAGATGTTTCAGCCGTACCTGTTTATGCTTGTGCAATTAATAGCCAAAACCCACGTTGGTATCTCCTTTAGTGTTGTACTCCTCTGGTAGAGAATTTGATGTGCATGCTGCAATGTTGCACTCCGTCTTAGTGCACATATCTTATGTGAAAGTCAAAGCTTCTTCTTTCTTTAGATTTGTGGTAAACTATACAAGCAGGTGAAAAAAACAAAATGATGTTTCACATTCTTGTGCAAAGATTCTACATGTTCCCGCTAATCTTTTCTATGCGGCATGTTTGCTTCTTTTTTTTTTTTTAGCAGATCATTGATTCTGCTAGGAGACTACTGTAGTTCTCACATTGCGCGATTAAGTTCTTGTCATGTTTTATGATGGAATAAGACTCAGAATCCATGGAATGAATCGTCCATTACTTTTTTTATGGTTTCCTTCTTCTTTTAAATGTGAACTGCAATAAAAATGAGCTTAATCAGGGCATCCAGTCAAGCAGTTTAAATTAGATCTTTTCCGGCTAAGCAAATGACTGTGGCTTGTGTAGGGAAAGAAAATAAAAGTTCCGACATTCTTGGTTCCTGCTACTCAAAAGGTTTGTAATATTTATCGATTAATACTAGCCTGCTACGACGATGTCAATGTAGACCGAACTGTATGATGCAAATATTTGAAAATGTTTTAGGTGTGGATGGACATATATACTCTTCCCGTTCCAGGATCTGCTGGTAAAACATGTTCCCAGATTTATCAGGAAGCAGGTTGTGAAACACCTGCTAGTCCTAGTTGTGCGGCTTGTCTGGGCGGCCCTCAAGACACTTACGCACGCTTGAATGAACCTAAGGTAAGCTTTTAATAATCTCATGTGAATTGTACTTTTCATTAACATGCTCCCACCGTACGCCAAGTTTGTTAATTGTTATATATGAATAGTTAATTAGTGATTAATATGCCAACCACCGTAAAGCTTTTTTGACTCTGATATTACAAGTAAACGTTGTTGGCTCGTCTTGAAGAAATGCGGATACTCATAGTGTATTCTTTATAGAGCAGGAATATATTAGTGAGCTGAAGCCGAACCTTACAAGCTGATTGCTGTATCTGGGATAACGTTTGTTTTTAAGCTAATTATAATGGTGTCATAGGAGGGGAGCCTTGGCGTAACTGGTAAAGTTGCTGCCATGTGACCGGGACACGGGTTCGAGCCGTGCAAACAGCCTCTTGCAGAAATGCAGAGTAAAGCTGCGTACAATAGACTCTTGTGGTCCGGCCCTTCGCTGGACCCCCCGACATAGCGGAAGCTTAATACAGCGGGCTGCCCTTTTTTATAATGGTGACATAACGTGGACTCTTTTTGCCACTTTATGCTAAATATTTTTTCAGTAACCTGATTAAAGTGAGAGCAATCATAGAATCGTAGGAATAAAAGATCAATTTTGCTACAATGTAGGTATTTACACTGACTATATGAGTTATTATTTTTCAGGTCTGTGTCTCGACCACAAACAGGAACTTCTCAGGTAGAATGGGGCACGTTGAAGGCCAGATATATCTTGCATCCCCATATACAGCTGCAGCATCAGCATTAACTGGCAAAGTCACTGATCCTAGAGAGTTTTTGATGTGAAGTTCTTGCGAGTAATTCGTTCTCAAATTTGGACAATATACTACTGTATGCTATTAGGAGAGAGCTTAAGCTCTTGCTTTTGATGTTATGGTATTCCATTAAAGGGGGGCTGTTTTTCTGTTTTTCAATTTTTTGGTTTTTACATTTCGGAACTTGAATAAGGATTCCCTTCTAATTTTTGTCGTCTTTTGTTGTACTACAGAATCTTGATAGTTAATGCGATGAGAATAATATAATTACTTGAGGTATATTCTGGTTCAAGCTCCTGTAAGCTCAAATGAACAATGTTTGGTGTGGTTTTTTGCTAGTTATGCAGAAACTAAGAGAATCAAGAAATGACAATGCGGTAACTTAGAACTTCAAAAAGTCCTGGCTGATTTTTATTTTTATTTTTTTAACTAGGGAACCACAATCGTTACCCTCGGGGTGCGCACAGAGTAAACCCCGCTTCTATGCCACAAGGTAAACCTCGCTCCAGTGCCACAGGGAAACCACGCTCCTGTGTCACAGGGTAAACCACACTCCTGTGTAATAGCTCGCAAAGCACACGTGAAGGTAAACTACACTAGGTCTGGCTGAAAAAGTTATTACTATGGATATACAAAGTCAACTTATTTCCATTTGATGGAATAACTGAATAAAGCCTTAGGGAAACAAAAGATTGATTTCGAGCACATCCATGAATAGACAAAGTGAATTCGAAACAGGGATAGAAAGGATAACCCACAACTTCAAAATTAAAAATTTATTTTGGGATAGGATGTTTCTTATTTCTTTCTGGATTTCCCTTTAAAGAGAATTATGGTCAATCCTTAACTTGTTTGAAAAATTAAAGACAAAAAGAGGATTTTGCAAATTTGCACGGGAATTTTTTTGCGAACAAGAAATTTATGCGGTGCCTGGTGGATGGTAGAAAGTACCCGGTTGGAGGTTCTAGGTATCCCGGTTGAACAGTTGAGGTGAGCGCAAAAGAGAGATGGAGCCACGATTTAAAACATATGAGTTCAGGATTCTAGTATATTTAAGTTATTGGTTCTAAATTAATAATTTGTAGATGAATTTCTTAAGACAAATACAGAATTTGAACCAAAATTACTAGGTTCGGCCATACCCGTATCTCGGTCTCTAGCTCCGCCATTGTGCGCAAAGTGGCCAAATACCACCATCATAAAAAAAAATCGTGCATGGTGTAAAGCTATATTAGAGGATTTTGGATTTCTTGTGTATATGTTATTCTTTGTTTAACCATTCAATCTTAAACTATGTTAGTTTGTTATAACTAATGGTTGATCATAGGATAATCAGTTTGAGGTTTAAGGTGAAAGGAAGATTGCAAGAAAATGTCAGCGTAACTCACATACAGTGACAACTTGGCTTCTGGCAATTGTTTAAGATTGAAAATGTCAGAGGATAATCAATTGTTTAGTGTCGCCTCTTTAGAATTACGCTCATTGGCAAGGAAAAGTATGCCTTAGAGCCTTGATGACAATACTGAAGCACATACTAAGCGAGGGGAAGCGTTCAATATGTTTTGAGTCTCGTTTCAGGGCTTGAGCGTGCTTTAAGCGCGCCTTTGATACCATTGGACTTAAATCTACTGTCATTGCGGTCGCCTTAGTGCTGGACCTTTCTATGCTGCAAGAAGTAGGAACCATTTTTATTTTATTTCCTCTGCCTAATTTCTAATAGCCTCCTACAAATCAACCCATTTGGCAAAGCTGCCCACCATATAAGATTTTAAGAAATTCTTCCTCTTGTAAGTGTGTTCGACTAAAGGTGTGAAAATCGGTTCTTTTACATCTTCAAGTCTCCGGCAAGGCTCTCCCAGCTCCAACACTGACCATCCAAGCCGTGTTTTTTTTTGGTAGATTATCTTTTGTTTTTTTCCTTTCTAGTTGTTTCACTAACTTAGCCTTTTCAGATCTTGATTTGATGGCGCGACGCAATATGTATGTAAGTTGGTAATAAGAAACTTGGAGTTGTACTTGATCAAGAAAAAAAAACCCTGAAGTTTGTTTACCCTAAAAAATGGATAATAATTGAATTTATATGTGATTTTAAGGCTATGCGGATTTATTCAATACAAATGATAAATGACGTTAGATTAAATAGATAAAAGACGTGATAAATTGTTAAACCAATAAGGAGAGTGATCTCGGACTTAGTATCGGCTTAGCGAAGTGCCTGCCTTTGATTCTGGGCTCACACTAATGAAGGACTGATGAACAAAAGCAAGAACTTTGAATAATAGAGAGAATAATAGTATATTGCTTTGATATGCGTGTTACAACGTGTTTAATGAACAGTTAGTTTCCCCTTTATATAGTAGGGGAATTTCACCCTATGTACAATTTTAAAAAAGGATAAAAAAATTTCTTTATGCTAATCACTGATTCACTGCTGATACGGGTCGAGATTTATGCCGTGACATCCGGTTGGGCACGGATGTCACGACTCTTTGTTAGTCGTGTTCGGCCATTTAGTAATGCTCTCCGAAGTTGAGGGATTCGAATCGAACCCGGGAAATGTGGCCCGGATGCTTCCGAGGGCGAATGTTTTGCTTGATCCCCGATGCGAGAGCTTTTTCGCCCAGACTCCAATTCCTTATGATCACGTTCTAGTACCGTTTGTCTTACCAGAAAACCGAGATGTTCAACGGGCTCGATTTCACCCGTATATAGATAGTCCCCTCGTTTCTTAGAAAGGAGGTTTACCAAAACGACGACAAACGACAAATGTTTTTCACCTCCTTCTTTAATACGCCGCAGTTGAAACGACAAAGAAGCCGAAACTTCCCGTTGTCGCGTTGTTCTGACTCCGAACACGTGTCAGCCATCGGCAGGTCACCTCTGAATGCGAAGTGTCACGAAACCTTTATAAAAGTTCATTTTTCACCGTTTGACCAAGCTTCTACCCTCGTTTCTTAGAGTTGTTACTTACCTTCTTCATACTTCCATATTTTTACCTCCGTTCTTCAAAATCTCTCAGCAATTTCCGGGTTTTTACCTAGTCTTTACTCAAATCAGCACACTTGACACTTCATTTTTCAGAACGTTTTCTTAGACCTTTCGAGCTTTTTCAGATAACAATGGCTAAAACATCCAAATATGTTCCTCAACAAGTCGTTTCTTCTTCTTCTTCCCAATCGACCGCTGAAATCTAGGCGGTCACTCCTGATATAGTCATCCTCGAGACGTCTGCTCCTAGCGCGGCTACCGATGAACCGGTTCTCAAGCGTCCCTTGAAAATGTTCATCCCCGAGGGCTGCTCAGTCGCAGATGACTTTAAGGTCGAAAAGCCCTCATCGGTGTAGGGCCGGGGTTAACGAGTATCAAGGTATATATGCTCCATTATCGTAGACGTTCTTCCCATGGTCCGAGATGACTGCAACTGGGCGGGTAAGGACGTAGTAGTCCCCTGGCCTGAGGACACCATCACTACCCATGTGGAGGGGTATCTAAGTGTTTACACTTATCCCTTCACATTGAGCCTGGTGGACCCAGTTATCTTTGACTTCTGCAAGAGGTACGAAGTATACCTCGGTCAGATCCACCCGTTGCTATGAAAGATCGTGATCCTCCTTCGTTACTTCGTGAACAAGACCGAATCCCATCAGTTCACCATCGATTACCTACTCCGCCTATACAGTCCCCGAATCTTCCGAGGGGGACTAATAAAGCTCACACGCGGGCCAGCAAAGCCCCATTCTCGAGTATTTATGAGGACAGGGACCGGGGCTGGCAGTGATGCTTCATTCGAGTGAAGATCGAAGACTTGATTCCCTCCGAGTTCATGCTATTCCCCGATAGCTGGAATGCATCTTGTAAGTACAATTTCCCTTTTGAACGCAATTTTACATTCATCTCCTTTTTTCTCACTAGTGCTTGTGGTGGTGCAACCGTCGCTCAAGTCCCAAATGTTATCCCTTGGCTCAAAGAGTGGGTCGAGGGCATTTGTTCATAGATGCCTTATTCCGAACGCACATGGAACTCTCGAGAGGCCAGTAGGAGGTCCGTTGCCATGGTAAGACCCTTCCCCGAATAAGTAACATCGAGCTTTCCCTTTCGCATTGTACTTACTCTCTTTTCTTCACTTTTCTTTTTGTAGGGTTGCCTAAGACCATTGAACTTAAGCCTTCAGGAGGGGACGGGGATGTGTCCTTGTCTGTTGACCCTTCCGCTTTGGGGCAGCTCGGGGCTTCAACAGGGGAAAAGAAGAAAAGGAAGGCTTCGGGCTCTCCGAGCTCAGAGAAGAAGAAGCCAAAGAGAAGGTTGACCCGTAAACCAAAGGAAAGTTCTATCTCTCGAGCACCCGACTCGGACTCGCTTCTTCGGCTCAGGGATGAGCCCGAGGAAGATGATTTTTTCGTGGCCCACGGGCCGACTTCTCCCTAGGAGCAGGAAGATGTTAATGAGGAGATCCATGAGGCCAATCTCCCTCAGACCTGGGAGGTTGATGAGGAGATCGGGGTTGAGACTTCCCAGGATACTGGCTACGCTCCGAATGAGGCGCCCGGTGTAATAGAGATTTCAGGGTCGCCTTCCTATACCGAGTCCATGCTCGAGGAGGCCCCAACAGAGAAGGAGAGGTCTAACGAAGGGGATTGTCCACGCCATGAGCCCCTTCGTTCCTTTTTCGACGCCGTGGACTCGTCTGTCTTGGAAAACTTTTACGGGCTGGGAGACATGGAAGTGCCGAGAAAGGATCTGTCTTTAGAAGTCAGCGGGCTGAACTCGAGCCCAAAGTTAATCAACCAGTTCCCCGCTACAAGTGTGGATCCCGGCTATAAGAGGTCGATAATCATCACTGTCCAGGAGGATGCCCGAGTTTTTTCTGCTCCTGTGGGAGTAGCGAGCTACCTTCGATGCCTGGTGATCGAAGAAGACCAGACAAAAATGAATGAGGTGGACGTTCCGTGTCTGTTCAACGAAGCGCAACAAGCGCTAAATCTGGTAAGGTATCATTATGCTCTTTTGAACTTTGACTTAGTTTTTGATATTTCTCATGTTTTTGGTATTCACCTAGGAGTCTACTGCCATTTAAATGCAAATATGCTAATAACGTAAGAATGGATTTTGTGGATATTTTTCCTTGCAAGTTGTTATTTGATAGCTTGAGGAAGATCAATAAAGAGTTGGCAAGTTCCATCGGTAGTTGTCCTGAAAACTGATTAAGAGCTCGTTTGGATTAGCTGATTTGAAGTAGCTGATAAGCATTATGTGCTGAAAAGCACTTTTAAG